TTTAAATTAAACAAAAATTCGAAAAGAGCTGAACATGTTTTGTACACTTCGGATTTATGAATAATTTCTGTTTGAAGATTGTCAAGGATTGGAAGGTAAATCTGCGATCTCATTTTCTCTCTAGGATCCAAAATAACTTCTGTATTTGGTTCCCCAAAATGCCTCTTTCTTTTAGTGCTTCGTCATTCTGGGTATTTTTCGTTGCCAGTTAAAGCTATTCCTTTGCCTTCATATTGATCAAACTCGTTTCTTAAGGTAGTTCACTCGCGACAGTCGTACATAAAAATATCGCATAATGGTGAATACCAAAAGTTCGAGATTTTCAATGCTAATCAATTTTATTTTTGTAAGAGATTGTACGAAACACATGTATATAAACACATATGGTCATGTTATAATTTTAATAAAATTCATCCGGCAACCTCGCAAATATATGAACGGTATGGTATAGAAATTTGTGACTTCCTCATACTTATATAGGTTATAACAAGTTCTTAGCTGATCGAGTGTTATTTTGTTACATGTAGTGATTACAATGTTGCCAAGTTGTAATAATTTTACGAAACTACTCGTCTACTACTTTAAAAATATTTTTATTTTAAAAATCTATATCTTTTTACTAAGACGGTCAAAAAATTCAGGGATTTTTTTAGAAAATTTTATAATTTCTTGATTTATGTAACATTAGTTTTTAAAAAATATGGTAAGAACCGTTTTCGAGATATCTTGAAATAAATGCATTGCTTGTGTACATGACAGGCTTCAAGAGTGTTAATTATGCACATTTTGATTGTTAATATCTCGTTTCACAGACGGTCAAAAAATATAATTTTTTTTTAGTTACGTAAACGACACTTTCATTAACCTTATATTTCAATTTTATTGAATTCTTAAGAAAAGCCGTTTTACGAGTGAACTACCTTAAATATTGAAATTATTGGGCCAATAAAGATAAAAGGTTAGATGTGGTACTTATATCCATATTCTTTTGTTGTAAAGCCCTATTTACATCATTAGTTCGGTGTAAAATATCCAACCAAAATGTTAAAACAATGTCATTTTCAAGAAGATCTAATTTCTCGGCAAAAGAAGCCGCTTCAACTCATACAACACTTTCTTCTTCTCTATTTTGAGATATTTTCTCTAAACATCTTTTTATTGATGCGTAACTGTGTCTTAGGGCTTTAATGAAATCAAATCGTGATGACCATCGCGTAGTGCTAACTCTCTTAGGTAAAAGTTTTCTGAAACTTTTATAAACTGAGATAACAAGTTCCATTTGTATAAAGATGCCGTAAAAAACGTGTTTGCTGCATTTTGCACAACTAAATTTTGCGAATGTGCGGCACAAGGTATATAAAGTGCTAATTTGTTTCGTGCCTTAATACGAGCCTGTAACCCAGAGTACTTTCCGCTCATGTTGCTAAAAATTATCGTATGACTGGCCCCTACAGTCTTTTAAAGGTACATATTTCCATTAATTTCAAAATATTCAGGACGGTATCTTCGAGTTCTGTCGCACGATGTTTAACGTTTTCTTGAAACCCCACAAACTGCTCAACTGGTAATCCATTACTATTACAACATCGCAATATAATTGTAAGCTGGTCATGGTGGGTTATATCTGGCGTAGAATCCACGCTTACTAAATAATACTTATTAACTTTAATTTATTTCACTATTTTCTTTAAAACTTCATTTGATAAAATTCCTATAAACTCATCGCAAATATCTTTTAATAAATAAGAAACAGTACCCTTTCCACGATTCGCAAGTTTTCTTATATAATCTTTTAAAAATGGATCATATTTAGACAAAAGTTCAATCGCACCCAAATAATTGACGTTATGATCTTCGCCTATCTTTTCATTACTACCTCTAAATGCTAACTCTCGTGTTGCTAAAAATTTTATAACGCTAACAATTCTTTTTAATACGTTAATCCAATACTCCTTTGCTACGTTACATTCTTTTTCAAGTTTTTTATCGATTCTTTCAGTAGTAAAAGAGCGCGCAATATATATTCTTATTAGATTGTTTAAATGCTCGGATGATCATTCATGTTCATCAAACCATTCTTTTTGCTTATTCCAGGATGAAAAACTTCTTTTAAACTGGTTGACTGACCCACCAAATAACGTACAATAAAGACAGTACACATTACCTGCGCTTTCAGAATATATTGCCCAATCTCCACGTAAAATATTTCTCCATTCACTAACTTTCTGTAGAACATTTGTTTATTTGCCCACCTGTTTTGTCCTTTAAATGGCCTCTTGGATTTGGAAAAAATAATTTGTTCCAAATTCTGACTTTTCCAAGACCTTCCATTAGGACTGGATCTTTAAAATCTGGTCAAATTATTTCTGAATCTACAATAAAATTATATAAATATAAATTATTAAGACCAATATCGCTTTCGCTTTATCCTGAACTGAAAAAATATAATGGTAATGAAACAAATCGTAACCAAAGCATTATCTCATAATTAAAAATTGTATGTAACGGTTTACATCATAAATTCTAATTAATTGTTAATTGATAAGAATCTAAAATACTTTGAATATAAGATAAGATAAATTTTTTCATTATGCCTGCTTAGTTAGCATAAGCTTAATTCCCCATTGGAGGCTTTATAATGTATGCTTTAATATAATCAGAATTCAGAATCATATTGTTTTCTTATAGGTATTCTACTAATTAAGTCGTAACATTTTAATTATTATGCTTAGTTAATGAAGAATATTCTTAATTTAAATAATTATTGTGTGTAAGATTTTATAAAAAATAATAATTTTCTAGGATAGAATTTAGTGTTTTGCCAAGATATATTGTTTGCATGTATGCTTCCTTATTTTCCCCCACTAGTCAAGAGTAATAGACTGATTGTAAAAACAATTCTCTCTGCTTTAGAATAAGTTTTCATGTTTCAAATTCGATTTTTCGTATATTTAATATCTAACTTACTAAATAGAAATATCAAACTCGCATTTGACATTTAAATTCAATGGTCACTTTGACGGGAAAGAGTATTTACAAAAATTAGCTATGTTAAACATAAAAACAGATATTTACTCAAAACCGTTGAAATTAGGTATAGGGAAATCTTATATGGAATGAAAGATAATTTAAATGTCTATCAGTTTATCTTATTAAATACAGGGTGTGCCATTTAAAATAGGAATATTATTCAACTCCATACATAAGTCGAATTCAATTAGACTAAATGAGCACCCTGTATGATTTAATGGAAAAATTTACATTTTATTCGATAGTCTAATATGTTGGCTAGGCATATCGCAGGTGACTGTTGATGTGTTTTAAATAACCGTGACATACTAGATTATGTTGTTTAAGCTTACAAATTAAGAATCCTTTAAAGGTTTCAAAAACGAAAAGAGATAGGTATAGGAAACATTACAGAAAGACACCATCAAATATAAGGAGTTCCCTTTAAACAAACGTAACTTTGATATAAATTCCTATTTTTGGGTTACCCTGTATAATCCAAATTATTTTTAATTTATAGTGTTAATGGTCCTGTATATCTTAATTAAGAAAAAAAAATACAAATTTTAAGTCGTTTCCCTTCAGAGACCGACGCGTATAGGATGCGCCATTCCGTATTTTCCATAACTACGTCCTTTTTTACACAAAAAGGTACTCTTGCTATAAATCAATTGAAAAAACGGTTTTCGAAAAAATTGCTTGTAAAATAATAGTTATGTTTCTATGCTGGTATCCTATTGTCGCAAATATTTTTTTTTATGTAATAATTTTGACAAAATATCTTAATAAAATAATCACAAAAAAAATTTTGTTCAGACAGTTATCTAGATCATTCCCGTATGATATCAAAAATGTATTTAGGGTAATATGTAATTATAATATGGAATTGTTTCCATATAGTTGTCTATCTCCTATACAGACACAGCTATTAAATAACATTATTGAATAACCGTTTCTCTTTTTTTATAGGTATACAGGGTGTCCCAAATAAGAGTGATCGATTCGCTTGCGAATGTGCATTGAACAAGAGGGTAGACACATACAGCATTTATTGTAACTTTTACATCCTCATTATAAATGTTTGTTTTCTAATTTTTAATAAATTTTTGTTATGTTTTGTTACTGAACAAATTCTTTTTGTTAATTTTATTTAATGTCAGTTTTTAAATAAAGAAAACAGCAGTGTTACTTAAAAACTCGAAAATCTGTTGTTAAGAAAACGAAAGATATCAAACTATACATTTTTAAAAAGTAGATGAATCTCTCTTTTGAATGCCATCAAATATACAGGGTGTTCCATTTAAAATAATACATATTTTTTCCATTCAAGTTGACCACCATTAGTATTGATGTGATAAAATGTGAACAAATTTGAAAAAAAAAACTTTTGGATAAACGAAAGCAATTAGTGAAAACCATATCTTTTTAGAGCAATTAATAAGCTGTGCATTTACATTTAAAATCGATCACTCTTATTTGGGACATCCTGTATTTTAAAATATTTTGAATTTACTAGTTATACAATATTTTAATATTAGACTTATAGAATAAAAAACGTGTGTTACTGGCAAATTTAATGCGTTAATTAAATGTTTGAATGGCGGAGAAACACCACCAGTAATTTGCACTGACTTACATTTTTGTTTTGTCCACGTCTTCGGCAACAAATCAATTGTATCTAAATCTAAGAGTATGCGTTTATGCGGAGGATGTGGTTGCCATGATGCATCCGCGTGGGTCGCTCTGATAGACTGCTTCATTAAAGTAGAGTTTCGACATGCCCGATCCGTGTACATCTCATTCTTATCACTGATGCATTTATAACAACCTGTTCGCTGTTAATCCCTCTTCTCTCCCTGCCGTAACTCGTGAATTCTGGCACGTATTTTATTGCTTATCATCCTTCAACATCGCCAAGTCGCCACAGACCTTATCGAAGCCATGTTTCCAAGTACTCCAATACAACTATTGATAATTGTTTTTTTTTGCAGGTGAGGTAGATTGGAACAGCGACCCAGCTGAGAACGCCGCTTCCGCGAATTCACCTTCAAAGTCGCCTCCGCCAAAGAATATCGCTCCCGAAGGGACTGTCGAAGAAACTACGCAGAGCTCGCAGAAGAATGAAACCGAAGAAAAGACGCCGAGGATTCGATTGAAAGCTAATCTCGCTACCGATCCTGCATTGCAATCTCAACCAATCACACTTACAAATCCGAAAATTGAACCCGACACTGCTCCCTTTCCCGCTAATTATTTAACGTCGTTACCCCCCGCTCTACAAAGCACTTTGGTCTCTAGAGGCTTCTTTCTTCCCAATATTCTTCCCGCAGCGGATCCTCATCAAACCGAATCAGTAGAAACCAGGCAGCCAACTGTACCAATATTTCAATGCCCACCATGTGGGATTAGATTCTCTTCTCTTAGTACTCTAGAAGCGCACCAAACGTACTACTGCTCGCATCGTATCAACAAAACTGCGAACGATGATGATTCAAAATCAGTTACCGATCCAAATGGAAATCAGTCAGACGCAGATCCAGCAGAACCTCCATTAAAGAATTTTCGTACCGGTAAACAATATACTTGTACTCACTGCTCGTATAGCGCTGATAAGAAAGTTAGTTTAAATCGTCATATGCGAATGCATACAGTGTCGCCTAGTCCTAGTCCCTTGAATATTGTAACTACTCCAAACGGAGAAAGTAGTAGCACCAATAATCCCGATAGATATTGTGCCGAATGCGATATTAGATTCAGTTCACAAAAAACATATCGTGCTCATAAGTTACACTATTGCAATTCTCGACATTTAGTCAAACTACCTTCAGCGTCCACTACTAAAGCATCATCTAGTACTTCTGGTTCGTCACCGACTTCTCCTGTAGATAGTAGACCCTGCAGAACCCCTCCATCGCCTACATCTCAGACTGCTTCACAACAACCATTTTTAGCTCTACCAACTAACCCCATCATTATTGTGCCATATTCTCTTTTTCGAAACGCCAGTGTATTGCCGGCTTTAACCGCTGCTTCCGGTCTTCCCACTCCAGATACACCTTGTTTTCTTCTTCCAAATGGTACTTTGCAGCCAATGTCAAATGCTTTAGCTAACCAACTGAACCAACAAAGCGAAACTCATAGAAATGAAAAATCCAAAGACCCTACAGTTGTTCGAGAATGTTCTTCAGCACCTTTAGATTTAAGTATGAGGAAATATGTGGAAAATAATGATCTGGTTATTGATTTTGGTGAGGACCAAGAAAGTAGTACTACTCCTAATCAGTCAGTTAGTCCTGAGAAGAGTAAATCGGCACCTTCCTCACAAAATTCCCCACCAACAACGCCTGTTTCGCATTGTGAATCTTCGCCATCGCCTAAAATAAAGGATGAAGTTTCGAGAAGCAGCAGCCCAAAGAGGTTTAGATCTGTTTTGAAATCTACTCAGAATGCCGACAATAAGAGAACGAGTCCCGAAGTAAACAATTTCCAACAACAGTTTGAGGGTAATCCATCTTTGCATCCTTTATTGATGCGAGGAAGTTTGCCGTTACTCGCTCCTGAGGTTCAGTTGCGGCTAGAACCGCCTCTGTCAGCCGTTATGCCGCAAGTTTTGGTAAAACAAGGAGTGTCGAAATGTAAAGACTGCAATATAGTGTTTTGTAAATTAGAGAATTATGTTATCCACAAGAAGCACTATTGTTCTGCCAGAACGCAAGACGAGAATCTTTCGAAATTTTCTGGTAGTCCACCAACAAGTCCGAGTAGTATCGAGGCAACTAGTCCCGCTGGACAATATCAACAGCTTATATGTTTAGCTTGTGGGATAAAGTTTACTTCGCTGGATAATCTAAATGCCCATCAAGCGTATTACTGTCTGAAAAGAGGAGAAACGACGGACGTGAGGAAATGCGGAAAATGCAAGGGAGTAGCCGAACCGGGTCACCAGTGCGTTCCTCACGCTGCCCTTTCGGGGTGGAAATGCCCTTGTTGTGACGTCATTAGCCCTACGGCGAGTGCAGCTCAAAGACATATGGAATCTCATACCGGAGTCAAGGCGTACAGATGCACCATATGTCGGTATAAAGGAAACACGTTAAGAGGAATGAGGACGCACATCCGAATGCATTTCGATAAACGATCTTCTGATTTGCAGGTTAGTGAGATTTATGTTTTTATATACAGCGTGTTCAAAAAGTAACGCAATTTGGTAATATTTCCGTTTGTGATAGGTTTACAAAAAAAAGTTAAATAAGTTAAAGATAACGCAATTATCTATTTTTTTAAATACACTTCCCCAATAAATTAACGCACCATCAAAAAATAACAAAAAGTTTAAAGCAAATATTTGTCAAAACCACTTGTCTGATTTGGACTATTATTTTTTTAAATGATAGGTTGTCTCTTCTACAACGTCTATGAATGTAAGGGCATTTGTTTACATAACAGAGATGCCTGGGTTCGAGTCACACCGACGACAGGCTTTTTTGATATCTCCAAATATGTATTTTCACCTTTGAGCTTCGGGGATAGTCTTAATAATTCGTAGAGGGTTTTTTTAAATTTGTTTCCGAATTTTCAAATTATTCTAAAATTCATTTTAATCTGTAAACTTTATTTACATATTCACAATTGTAGATTAAAACTGATGATGATTTAAGGCCGAAGGCGTTTTGAAAAATGTTTTCAAATAAAATTTCCACGAAATACTAATAGTTTCATCGCCAAATTAGATCATTCAGATGAATTTCTCAAATCATTATTTATACAGTCCAAGAACAGAGCTTTATATAAATGTTTATTATAGACTGTTAATATCAGTCCCAATATTATATCACTTCTATTCTAATTAATACAACTCTTGAAATGACGATTATAGATAATCGCATTCCAAAGACTGATAAAATAATTGCATGATAATGATTTCGCATATTGATATAGTCGTGATATATAATCAATCAGATAACAAATATATTATACCCCAAAATATAGTCATTTCTGTGTCCTATAGAATTAAAACCAAATATTCAAAATATTAGTAAGCAGTGTCATAACTCTTAAATCATTATTTGCTTTTCATAATGGTTATTCTTCACAAGGTCTCCCTCGAGGTTCAAACCATTGACCTATGCTATTTTTGTTATTTATTAATGATCTCGATCACTATTTAAATTATTGTAGACTTATTTATGTAGATGACTGATATATCTCTTTGTACTAGACACGTATCACTTAGATAAATTATCAGATTGGTGTATACAAAATTGGTTAATGCTAAATGCATCTAAGTGTAAAGACATACACCAGAAAATGATCTATTACACTGCACAACAACATTTCTGATGATTGAGTTATATTACATGACACTAGCTTAATTTTTAATGAAGACTTCAACTTTGTAATCTAAATTTCTTTATTAGCTCTAGTTTAGAAAATATGACACATGGCCGTTTCATAGTAAAACACAATTTGTTTAAAGTTAATCATATTTTATTTAGTTCTTAAGGTGAAAAAAAAACTTGCCTTATTTATTCTGTCAAAATTTTAAAATTAAAAAAAAATATTTTTGAGATATTATAAGGGGTGCTGTAATCACCTTAAGGGATTTATATTTGTTGGACAATAAAGGCTAATATTATTATATATGCTGCTTATCTGTAAAATATCTAACGCACAACCTTTTTCTTTTCAGGAAGAAAAATACATCTCATATATCCTGGAAGACGAAGGTTCAAACATAGTAGAAGTAAACGTAACTTCGGCAGAATCATCGGAAGAAAAAGCGAGTTCTCCAGCTACCGACTCTTCGTCAGATCCATTACACCACTGTCATCAGTGCTCCTACAATTCCAACTACAAAGCAAACGTTCTCCGACACATAAAATTAGTCCACGACGTTCCTTTGAACGAGGAAGTAGTACCTAATGGTTTATCGGACAAGAGCAAGTCCATGCCTGTGTTAGAGGAAGACGAAGAAATCTTAATAAAGCGAGAGGCAATAGAGCCCGAGGTGATAATCGCGCAAGGAGAAGAACCGATTCTCAAAGAGGAACCGGATGTCCCAAAAGCTCCTAAAAGCAAAACGCCTGAATCGGAGATCCTCCAAGAAGCTGCTAAACCGGGTTCTAGGTATTGTAAATCGTGTGACATCTACTTTAATTATTACTCAACTTTTGTGGCGCATAAAAAGTTCTATTGCTCCAGCCATGCTGGAGAGATAACCGCCGCGTCGAATAATAATATAAATAATAATTCAGCCACGCGTACCGCCGAGGCATCTGTGCTTTAAAGTAGTTTAGTAGATTGTTTTAGTAGAATGAAGGTGTTATTGACAGATTCGAAATAGTTTAAAACATTTTTAAAAAATTAATTTCAAAATATATATGAAGTCATACATCAACAACGCAGATACCTTTATTTCTTGGACTTATTCTTTTGTGATATTTATCTAAACTTTACACACAAAGTTACCAGTAATAACTAACTGAATTTTCTACTTCTTGATCTTGTTATCTTTCGTCTACTAATAAATTAGAAAGATCCTTCCACATCTATATTTATATCCCTTAGGGCCAGTTTTTCAATCACACTTTAAACTTTCGTTCAACTGAACTGTTGGTGTGATGTTTACAGAAACATTTTTTAAAAATGAAGATGAAAAATTGTACGAAATGGTAAAAATTAACAGACTGCTAATTTTTCGAATAATAAAGAAAAATTGCTTTACAATTCCTTCTTATATTTCGTTAATTATTATGTTAACCGTTTCCTTAAACAAATGAAATATTGCATATTCTCTTGGTATGCCTTAGTATGCCTTACATAGGGCATCATGTTCGGAAATTTTAAATTTCGGATTGTAAATTTTATCATAATCTTCAAATCAGATTTTTACATTTTAGAAATGTATTTCGAAATAATTTTTGTTCTTGAGCTTGACGAGTCAACCATGCCATATAAAAAGAGACATTAGGTCCGTATTTATAAATCGAGCTTAGCCAAGTTGGTCTTAACTGAATGCTTTTTTTTAACGAAAAGTTCGAGAATAATATTAATTGCTATATACAGAATGTTTTAAAAAAAGGTGGCTCGGTTGCTAGAATAGGTAGTGTTTTACCCATTCTATTTTTCGCACCTCTTTTTGAAACACCATGTAGCGTTCTAGGTGGTTCCAGCGTTACTTTGGAATTTAGAGATAGATAGTAAATCGAACTTCGATTTTTGTACAAGGCACTTAGGTCTCAGCAAAGTAGTGTGGTTTATAAATATGGACCTAAATAAAAGAGTAGGGATTTAATTTTTTCTAAGTATTTATATTGTGAAGAAAAAGGTATGCGTTTGCAAATTTGTATGGCAAAATAAAAATAAATATGAATAAGATTTTATTTCAATACATTCGATACAGTGTGACTTAAAAAGTTAGCATCATTTATATGGAAAACTATTTTATTGATTTTAAAGAAAAACTTCGTGCAAATATAGCTCCTAACCGAATTTTTTAAATAAACACCTTTAAATCTTTTTTTAATTTCCTCGTATATGTTAATTTTTTTGAAGTATTGTAATTTACTGAAGCATAATTATCAATATTATTTTCTCAAAATTCAATAATATTTTTTTCCATGGTGCAAATTTTTGGAGACACCCTATATATTATCTCACGACTTGTATAAAATATTTTAAATTATTTCTATTGTGTCATTTGTCATTAAGTTTCAAGGTGTTATATTTGGGCCAGACCTCTCTGTATACGTGCAACCGTATTTTAGTGCCTCAACACTTAAAGTTGTTTGGGCAAAAAAACTGAATATTATAATATAAGTATATATAGTTTTTATAATAAAAAATAGAAATATTGTAAATTTACCATGTGAGATAAAAAATATTTTATTTATGATTAATGTTTAGTTTAAAAAAACTAATCTAGATCAAGCGAATAATTTTCTTTTGGACTAATTTAAAGCATTAGTATAGAATTGTAGAATTATTTATGAAATTAAAAATTTAATATATCAAAAATATTTATTTGATTACACAACCACAGAAAAAGAAATTTTTTTCGAGTTTAGGATCAGACCGTGTTTTTTATATGTTTCTGAGGTCGCTGAATTCGAATCCAGGGTCCATTTTACCCTATCATGTCAGGGTTTTGCCATAACCTTAAAAAACTCAATAATTTATGATTTTCAGCACTTTTTAACGCATATAAGCCTGTGACTCAAACTTTAAACACAAAAGACAAGCTACTAACTCCAAATCCTTAATCTTATAACCCCATAAACTCATAACCCCATAAAAAGCCCTATAATTTACAGCCACACAATTTTTTTTGTGTGGTTATGAATTATACCTTTTTTTAACCCTTAACTGGTGGCCCGGTTTATTTGTTACGTACCTAGGACGTGGGGGCCCTGAGTACCCAAGAAAAAATCCTCAAAAAAGAAGAAAAAAAACACGTAATTCGAAATTTTTTGAGTCTTTCTCATTATTTATCATCGGTCAGTTAACATAGTATACATTTATTAATATTTTATAAAACAATAATTTGTTTTGTGCTTAAAGTGTTATGCTAAGAAAAAAGATAAGTATTTTGTAAATGTTATCGTTTTATTGAAAAAGGAATTAAAAAAACATTCATAGAAATATAAAACATAAAAAAAAATTAAAATGAACACCTTACTTTAATAAAAAGTAAGAAAAAGATGGCAGAAAAAATATTTAATGAAAAAATCACAACATATGAACATTCTAATTATTAACGCAATCTTTGCAACTTTCTTCTGTGCAATTTGCACATATTGCTACATTACATAATTTACACAATGTACTTGTCTTTTTATCAGCTCTTCTAGGACATTTTCCGCAACGTCTTCTTTTATTGTTGACTTCCTCAGCTACGTTTCTAATTTCAGTTCAGAGGTTTCCGTAATATTCTGCTAACAGAGAGTCTTAATTCTCGCGGTAGACATATGGTTCGAAGTCTTCTGTTGAGATGTTCTTCAACCAATTGAAACGACAGCCTTTTTATAAAATTTAGTCTAGACATGCTGTCATTACTTCTAAAACAACCATACAGTATATATGTGTTTACACTCGCGATGTTAAGTATGGTATGAAACACTGCCACCCTTAGTCAAATTATGGAACGCTATAATCTCTGGTTTTTGGATTTCTTGATCAGTATTGATGGTGTGGTGCATAGACGATATCATGATAGTTGCTTTCCGTTTTTTTGGAACGTACGACAATAAGGTCATATCAGCAGTAAATCCATATAAAGCAGACTTTTCTGTTCTAGCTAAATTGGGTTGAAACTCTGGGGGTATCATTCGCTTGTTCTTTCTGACTGTCCCAACGTATGTCAAATTGTGTGTTTTTAGAGACAACCAATTCATAGGATGGAAACCAATTATCGGCAGTAATGTTTCTATTAGTTCCGTAAATTGGTTTGCATAACCGCAACACTGATTGCGTTGGCTCAGCTAATTTTCTCTCGGCATCAGGAAGTCACTGTTTTTTCCTGTATATATGTATGCATACAAATATGATGTTCGTGCGTTAGCTAAGATCATAATTTTCAACCTATCAGCATCTCACCAATACACACATAATGGCCTACACAGTAACACTGCTGTGAATTACTAACGAGTTTCTCAAATAGGCCGGATATCGCTGCAGCTTTGTCTCCAAGTACTCTCATGATTCTGTCATCAGCATTGTCAAATCTCAAATGAGATAAAATGGTCAAAAATCTTTTGAGCGACATTGTGTTTCTGAATATGTCGCGACCAGTTCCATCCGTTGCATCTCCTCTATCATTTCATCATTAAACAAATGCTTCCAAATACTATATGGATCTGCATTGTTCAAATTTCTCATGGGTCCCCTCATTCCTGGAAGAAACCTAACAATATTGTGGGCTTCTGTTCTTCTGTTCCACGTAGGCTCAGATTGAGACCACTTGAATATATTTTTCCCATAATAATCTCGGTTATTTTCTGAATCCGTAGTTTCTTCTGGTAGCTCATCATCATCATCGCTAGAGTAACTTGTGTCAGTAGCCGTATCCTCACTCTGTACGATATTTCTAAGTAGTTTCTTTCTTCGTCCAAGCAATCACTTTGTTGACCGGGGTCCTCTTCATTTTCGATTTCCTCGGACCACCTTAGTAGTGTATTTTCAAAATTCGAGTCTCCATACCGAACTACTTTAGGTTTACTCGACATTATTCTGAGAAAAAGATACCACCCACATTAGCAAAAAAAAATACGCAACTGGTGACACGGGGTCACGAAAGACCCCACGTTGGCTTTACTTACCTATATTGCCAATATTATGCAGACAACCGACGTGAATTTGTTAGCATCACACTCACAACTGGATAGCTATTCACTAAGTCATGGGAGCGCTCCCATGGGAGTGTTCCCATATATTTTGCTCTCTTACTCTAAGGTGGGTATATCGTGCTTACTCACTTTTAGCCCAGGTACATGCATAGTTAGTTCGGAGTAAGCACGATATACCCACCTAAGAGTAAGAGAGCAAAATATATGGGAACACTCCCATGGGAGCGCTCCCATGACTTAGTGAATAGCTACCCTGATCAACTTGAAGGTAGAGATGGGTTACTATTTTCACTGCTTTTCACTTGTCACTGGAGCAAAGTGCTCCACGATTCACCGAAAAATTGCTACTTTTCGGAGCAGGTTCCGAGTAAAAAGGAAAACGATATAAGTTCTTTTTTTTAATTCCTTTTTTATAGACTTATTTTGTCTATTCATATTCAATATAAAAAAAGATGGCATTCAAAACTTAGAAACACCTTTGTTGAAATAGAAACAGAATGCAAAATGTTAATCTTTAAGTAGTAACTCAATGAGTGAATCCACGATATAACTAAAGACAAAATTAATAATATCAATCATCTTCCTATTTACTTTTGCCCTGGCTGTAAGGTCCATTTGGTAAGTTCTAACCAATCTTCAAGAAAAGTATATAATTAAATATGTTTTATACGAAATTATTAACTCCATAATCATTAATTTATAGAAAGAACAATTTTACTAAACACAGATAGCCATAAAAAAACTTATCGTTATCGCCATGTGTGAAAAATTATCAAAAGCTGCTCAAAAAAATAGCAGTATTTTGTCACTGCTTTTTTGTTGTAGCAAAAGCGGTTGTCACTGCTTCTTAAAAATAGCTTGCTTCACCCATCTCTACTTGAAGGTACTGAAACTGAAGTGGCGGTCTAGATTCGCGCATGCGTCTAGGAGTAATGCGGTCTCGGATATTCTCTGGGGTTGCCAGTGGCACCACGTCACTAGTTAAGGGTTTGGTAATGGGGTTATTGCATTATGGGTTTATGAGGTTATAAGGTTAAGGATTTGGAGTTAGCAGCTTGTCTATTGTGTTTAAAGTTTGAGTCACAGGCTTATATGCGTTAAAAAGTGCTGAAAAACCTCAATTATTGTGTTTTTTGAGGTTATAGCAAAACACTGACGTGATTGGATTAGACGGACCACGGATTCGAATACAGCAACCCCAAAAACATTTAGAAAACACGGTCTGATCGGTGTGGTTGTGTTATTAAATAGATTAAATTGTGAAATTGTTAGAAATCAAATAATTTCTTTCTAAAAATAATTTAATTTATTATATCAGTAATTTGAACCTTATCGAAAGAAAAAGTAATTCAGATAGTGCAGAATATCCGAATAGGTATATTTATTGAATTTATAAAAGTTTACCAGAATGTCACAAATTATGTAAAATTATTCTAAATAGTTAAAATCAAATTATTCTGAGATCAGCTCTTTATAGGCAACATTTTTTAATTTCCTTAAAATATTT